TGAAGAAGACAGCTTCTTGATGGGAACACATGTTAATCTAAAACCTGTATCTACTTTTCAAAGCTGATGGTGCCTTTCCAGACGAACATGCTGCCCAGCATAGGCACTAATGCATTCCTTATACCATTAGAGATGAGAGAGGCTTTTGAACTGAGAGCTGCTAATAAGTCAGGTGGTCTCTTTAGTCTGGTGTGGCTTTGAAAAAAGAATTTCAAATTTAAATTTGTCTGATCACAGAAGAGTTTGTCACTTTGCCTCAGTCCACTTCAATCGAGTATAGGCTCGGGGAAGATGGCAGCATTTCTGGATCATCTTCACATATGGCTTTTTTTCTTTCTTTTTTGCATGATTGCACTTTAATCTGTATTTGTGGATGCCACAGTGAGCTGATTTCACAGGCAGTAATTTCTGGAAGTGTTCTTGAGTCCATGCAGTAATTACCACAACAGAGTCATGGCTGTTCTTAATGCAGTACTACCTGATGTTCAGCCGTGTCTCTTATACACGTAGACATTTATCCAGGCTATGAATCTTTCATAATATTATGTACTACAGATAATGAGATATTTAAAGTAATATACATTTTGTATTGAAGATTTTGTTCTTATTCCACAGTTTGCTAATATTGTTTTTGCCGATGGGTGAACCAATAATTTTGAGTAGCTCTGCCTCTCAAAGATACTCTTTTGACAGATTACTGACCCGTTTCTAGTTCATCTAAATGTTAAAATTGGAGTACTTACTTTTCCAGCCTTCTGAACTGTGTTTGGGAGATGAAGCTGCCTTTAAATCAAAGTGAGTTAATGTTTTTCATGAAATAGTAAACTGTCTCAATTAAAACATTTCATATGTTTTGTATGCTGTATTGTGAATATAACAATGTTGTGCATTCTTATTTTTACACAGCATTAAAAAAAAATTTCAGAACAGGGGTTGTAGAGAGACCCGACCAAAGACAACACCCTGCATCAACTCTAATAGTGACCATAACTTACAAAATAAGCATCACACTGTATTCATTAAGACATGATTTCTCTGACGTCATCAAAGGCTGAAGGGTGATTTTCCCAACAGGCTGCTATGCTTTCCAGCGTTTGCAGTCAGAGAAGTCACCCCCATGTGCCATTGGAAAGAATACAATTTTAAGGCAGTTTGGTACATTGTCTTTTATATACAATCCATAGGTAGCGTGATAGCTCCCAAAATATCAGCATAGTTTAAATAGCATGGACCCCTGTGAGTAAATGCTATCTCAATAAGCTGTTAGCATAGCTTTAGACCTTTAGTCTTCAATAAAATACAACCTACTATATGCATTATCTTTAAATAGTTTACATGAAGTGGAGGAGAATAAAACAACAGCTTAAAAGTTTGGAAGAAAAACAGCACAAAGTAAAGGTACTTCTCATTCAAATGCAAATTGCAGTCTAAAACAACCTTGTTCTAAATTAGCTTTTGCTATCAATTGATTGCTTCCCTGTAGAATTGTGAGTATTTTCTTCTGTTTTTACACTTACTGTGTTTTGGACCCAGGCTGCCAGCCTAGAAAGCAAACCTGGGAAATCATGTAAAATTCGGATAACTCTTTAGATGGGCAATGTGAGGTTCAAAACACATTTCTGTGAGCACCGTGTTACAGTTAGCTGTGATGTGTCACACTGAAGTCTCTGTGGTGTGTGGTGAGAGGTCTTTAAGGGGACAGTATACCCCATAGTAAAACTTTTAGAAAAGTGATTTCACAGCGAGATGTTCACTGGATGTTGAAGGTTTGAAAAAAGTAGTACCTGTGGCCTGTGTTCATATTTAATCATCCTGAAATATGTGTGGTTTGTTTTCTCCCCCAGCATTGGGCTTAATCTTATGATGTAGACACACACCTTGCTATCAGAGGTTTTTCTGCTGTCTTGTGATCCTGACTTTGAAGACCACGCTGGACCTTGATATGTTTTATTTGAAGACAGCATCCGGGGACACTTCAACGTTATTAAATTTAGTTAGATGTGATGGCACGACAACCGATTAACAGAAGCAAATGTTTGATCTTCACTTTGAGGGAATCACATCTTTTACCTTCTTTGAAGTTCGCGTTCCTGCTGTTATTCACATTTTTCCGGTGATCTAGAGAGCACTTAGTGAGAGGGTGCAACCTAAATAACTCAGCATGCTGCAGAAGAGAAAATCCACAGGTTTGAAGCTGTGACTCATGACTTCCTGTCATACACCCCCTGTTTACCGTCAGTCCGCAATATTGAAATAAGTGCTAAAAGCAAGTGAAATATCCCTTCACCTTGACCTTTGCGCGCCCACCTTTGATTAAAGGGCAACAGGAGCACATGAGAAACCACCCAACTAAATTCGTGGCTCCTCATCTTTGCGGCAGCACACCATGCAGTGTAATGTGCCTGATTAGTCACCTGTTTCAGTATGTAACGATAACAGATATCACTGAGATAAAGAGCCGATATCAGTAAGATAAAAGAAAATCATTAGTCAGCCAAACATATATGCGTCCTTTGCTGATATTTTGCAAACGACTGATAGCAGGAATTAAAACATATTCTGTTGTGCACACACAGGAAATACCTCAACCTTAACAGCATCAATGTTGACACGATAAACACTCACACGCAAGCACAAAGCCACACTGATGAAAAAACAGCATGCGGACTGTGACAACTCAGATCATGAGAAACTTTGCAGTGACTGTGTGTCTGTGTGTGTGTTTGTGTGTGTGTATTTGTGTGTGTGAAAGACAAAAAACGAGCCTCACGCGTGCAAAAGGGATCCCACTCACGTCATTTCCAGAAAGGGAAGTTGTTTCTCTTTGAGAACGTGCCAGTGGAAGTGGCAGCAAATAAAGGGCCTCACTTATGCTTATAGCAGCATATAGGAGGAACACTCACACAATGATTTCCATCATTAGCATGTAAATATATATGCACATTTACCTTACTTCTGCAATGCTGTTTCTTCTATGAATGCATGCACAATTATTCTCCTTTAAAGTCACTAAAGTTATATGCATATGGATGAACCCATTGCGCCTTGACTCTACAAATAAGTGGGAAATTAGGAAAAAGTTGTTAGGTTTTACAATGACAGTTAAGGTACATGCACAATGTGTCAGGTGCAGCTTTCTTTCTGTTTTGACACCCTTTTTTTTTAGCCAGTCTGAACAGCAAGCTAAAGTTAACTTGATCTGAATTGATCTAAATTAGACCTTTTGATTCAAATGCCAATCTCATCACTCTTATAAGGTCAAACCTCTCCTGACGTTGTGACTTGTGTGAGCCCGGAATCTCGACAAATAAAAAGGTGAATTTAATATACTGTCATGTGGCCACCGTTGTACGCGTATTAAATCCAAAAATTTCATGTGAAACATCAGGATGCGCTCAGACAAGGGAGCTCTGGCACCAGCACGACACAGTTTATATAACTGTGCCTGCCTGCTTTGCACACACTCAGGAAATACAACAACTGCAACATGCAAGTGAGGCGCACATTCAAATAACATCAGGTAGACATTTGGTTATGAAACTGGCGTGATGAGAAGCAGAGTGGGCTGTGTGGTTTTGTTGCAAGTGTGCATCAAAATATTGTGTGACCTTTCAGTTGGGACATTTTGCATGTGATTTGCATTCCTTTAACATTTCAGATTGCGTGAGCGAAGAGTCTACATCTCTACTGAATGCGATATTTGGTATTTTACACCGGCTTTTATTCTGAGCATACTATGCAGCGTTACATGTCCATTAATATAGCATAGACTCTGCAGGTTTCTCCTTCTGTTTAAGTTCTGCCACTCTTTTTCTAACTTTGTCTTTGGCCATCATCTTGTATATGTTCTCGGTTTGACTGCTTGGTAATCAGGAGTACTTTGCATAGCAACAGCAGAAACACACTCAACCACAACATCTTTAACTTGCATTGGATGTAACCTGGATTTATACTAATGACCTCAGCTGTTTTCTTTTCCCCCCATGTTGACTGGCAAAAGTGCATGTCTGCAGGAAAATCCCCCAGTAAGCTTTAAGCTGCAGCTCAAAGGGAAAAGGAAAGGAAGACACACACAGCTGCTCTGATTGGTGAAACTCGGCAGCACACATCCACTGGTCTGTGTCCATCATTTCCAGGGAAAGGCGATGTTTCACAAACAATCCAGAAGCAGAATAAATGGGGGTGGGGGGGCTTAGCTTACACCAAGATCCAGCGTGGCGTTCCTATCGGCCACCCACAAGTTCATAAAGAAAGAAAAAGCAAACAAAAAAAGCTTTACTTGTAGCTCACATAATTTGATTCATAGCAAATGAATAATTTCAACCTTTCATAACCCATTACCATTTTACTAATGGTTTACCAGCATTTTACGTGGATCATGCCACATGTAATGATCCATCACCTCAAACTATTTCTAAATTGTATTTAAATTTGATTAAATTACCTTAACCTGCTAAGTCAAATGGACAAAGTGTTGAGCAAAGGTTTTTATTATAACTGACTTTACTTATTAAATGTACTTTACTATGTTATGGTTTACACACACACACACACACACACACACACACACACACACACACACACACACACACACACACACACACACACACAAAATATAAATTCAGCCTAATCGGCTTACAGTAATTAGTGTAAATTAAAATAACGCATTCAAAGTCTGAATGCGTTATTTTAATTTACACTAATTACTGTAATGGCGCACTTATTGGCTGTGTGTTTGTATTTTCCGAGCCCAGCAGAGTCTAAAGTACTCCGTGAGTAGCAGAGACCGCGCGACTGACGAACACCAGTTGCTTTCTGTTTCTGTTCCTGTCGGAGCCGCGCGCGCAGCCGCTCTGTGGAGAGAGCCCGCGAGCTACGAGCCCGGCAGAGGGAAACATCACGTGGTGACACATCTTTACGACTGACGTCACCGTCCCCATCTCCAAGCAACCCCTCCATCAGCACTCGCGTCATCGTGCGCCCGAGCCGCGCGGTTGCCCAGCAACCCTTTCCTTGCGCTCGGGTCCGGCCTTGCCTTGCACCCAGCTCGAAGCTCTGACGCGGGTGTGACGTTAATAAGGTGGGTATCAATTTGTTATGGTGGCGAGGAGAGGAGGGAGGAGGAGAAGGAGGAGTTCCCCCTGTGAGTGCCGAAGCCCTCAGCTCTGCATTCCGGCGGAGCTTACAGGCACACACACCGGCCGCAGCCTGGTCCCGGCCTCAAGACTTGTTGTAGAAAGTCAAAGGAAAAAGTTACCCCGCGCGTGTTGCCCGCAGTTTTTCCTTTTTGTCTCGTTGTTTATCCGGAGCTCTGTTTGTGGAATGGTTGACGTTTCGTCCGAGAGCTGCCTGAAGTGTGAGAGAAGGTGGTTATTATCGTTGTAAGGTAAGAATTACTCTCGATAACTCACATTTTACTGGCTCATTGTCACTTAATAGAAAAACTGGTAATTTTACAACTCAGCCAAAGTCTCTTTCTCTCTGTCTCTCTCTCTCTTTTTTTTAGTTTTCTACATGTATATATATACTATTTTTTTACGTATTATTCAGCCTCTTTTTCTTAATAGTCGTGAAAGTGTCGCTTTTTCTTATAGGTTAGTGAAACCTATTTGTGTAGATCTCTTTGTACCCAATGAATGAATATCAGCGGGCTTGTTTATATATATTACACGTATTTGTACACCTGTAACGAGATTGTAGTCGTATTTCCAGCTTAACTCGTTTATTACACCAACAATGTTTCGATAAAGTGATCATATAATAATTTTAATTCGTCTGTGTTTTCACACTGTCAGGACCAAATGCTCGTTACACGCGGAACAAAAGCTTCTAGCAAGTGAATTTTTACACAAGTGCAATAAAATGAGTAATGTGCACCGCTGTCTCTGCAGGTTCGTTTATCGCAGTGCTGTAACCCCAGTCTGTTGGTACGCCATGGTAATCATGACAGAAACCAACCGGGGAGCTCAGTCGAGCCCTGCCCAGGGGAGGCCGCTGCAGGTCGGCTTCTATGAAATCATCCGGACCCTGGGGAAAGGGAACTTTGCAGTGGTGAAACTGGCCAGGCACAAAGTCACTAAAACACAGGTCAGCTGCTTTAATATCATTGTTAATATTATTAATTTCTACTTGCAGCCTTTTTTCTGGCCTTTCTTTTGAAATTTGCAATTTTTAACCACGATCCCCCCCATTTTTAAGGTGGCAATCAAGATCATCGATAAAACCAGGTTGAATCCTTCCAACCTCGAAAAGATCTACAGAGAAGTGCAGATAATGAAGCTGTTGAACCACCCTCATATCATCAAGCTCTACCAGGTGTGTATTGTGGCTAACCTCTCTCTGCTCTCTGAAATGTCGTTGTGTGCAGTGCAGAATGCTGCGTGTGTAATTCAACCTGTGTTACGCCCTCACGGTAGCCGGACTGTATGCTGGTCTGCAGGGAGCTGGTCTAAATGCATGCATGAGCATTTGAGTAAAATGCTCTGGTGTGGAAGGAAGCCTTTGCAAATTGAGGAAAAAAATATTTTCCCTTAAACAGCACTGGTGCGCTGCAGAGCACTGCCTTTAAGGACCATTTGTTGCCTGGTTTTAACCAGCTTGCCGATTCTCAGAGTATACTGAGTCATAAGTACTGCAGAACAGCATTAGTGCAATCCCCTTTGACCTCCCTGTATGCGTATGTGTGCTTGTTAGAGAGAGAACAGTCATCGGTACCAGCCGCTGCTAAGAGCATTGCATTTCTAAGATTTCTTCAGTTGTTTGAAGGAAGAGGTGATGGCAGAGATATGGGAAACAGAGCAGGCAGGCGACTAATTACCAAAACATCTACAGGTCTGGACTTTAAGCCTAATTAGCACCTGTTTAAACCACTGCAATGTGTGTGCATGTCACGTGAAGGCTACCCCACAGCAAAGCGCTGCTTTACTGCTAATCAAATTGAAGACTTAGTCGAAAGAATCCGCTTTTCCCCACTCAGCTGACCTCGCAAGCACCGCGGCACGCGTCTGGCAACAAACACACAAACACACACCCATGCAAACAGACACACAATGCCCTTTCTCTTTTTTTTCCATTCTGGATTTTTTCTGCCTTTTGCTTTGTTCTCTGTTGTTTGCTACTTTTCAGGATTAGTTTGTATCTGGTTTTAAATGGCTGAGCAGCTCTTACCATGAAATCATGTCTAGACTGCAGAAACAAGGGGATAATATTATTCCTAGGAATTTCTATAAGAGAAAAAACGTAATAAAGAAATCGAACATCATAGATGTCCACTATTTTTATATTTTTTAATTTAGAAACCTCCTTCTATTCATCTCACAAGACCACACAGACATTTTTTAATGCTTCACACTGATGGTACAAACAAATTAAAGAGGATATCAAAATTTTTCATATGTTAAAAAGAAAAAGAAACATCCAACCACTCAACAAATTAACCATAATGCAGACAGAAAAATGCATCACTTAAGACGTGTAAGCACAAATAAAATAGAAATTGAAATCCCCAGTACATTATCATCTCTTCTGACACACACCAATATGCAAAATAGTTTAAAGGCATTCATGCTTTATACATTATTCAGATGCCTCAAGTGAGTGTAAAGACAGATTAACCATGAAAGAAGCCTAACACTTCTGTTAGATTATGTGGAAAAAACATGAGATGGAATTCATTAATTTAAAAGATAGAATGATAATAAAAAAACAATTTTATTTAAAAGACCATTTTTGATCTGACAGTCTTTGTTTTGTGATAGAGCGAGATGATAATCTGTAGGTTTGTGGTGTTGTATCACTGCTGTGCTGTCTGTCCTCTGTCCCTTGTTAATTTCTTCCTGGCCTTGGGTTGTTCAAGGTGATGTTAGTCAGATGGTTGTTAGCAACCCTCGTCACCTCCTCTTTCTCCTTCCTGCACAAAGGGAGGGTACTGACATAAGACCATCTTGTGATCTGTAGATTACATCCTCTAGTATCCCTGCAGTTTTTTGGGAGACCTCACGATAAATCAGCTGCTGCTTCCACTTTTTTTTTGTCTCACGGGAACCAAAACAATTCCTCTAAACTGAAAGGTCATTGAAGTCTCTCTCCCGCTCATTGTTTGTTTGCATAAACCGCCTGTCTTATCGCTTTAAATTCCACTGAAATCTCATGGATTTTTTTTTCTTTTTTTAATTTTATGCTCCCATTATGCAGCTTTTAGCAACCTTAAATCGACCTTATGGAAAATGAGGAGTCCAATATGGATGTTAAAGGGTTTATCTTTATTCGGGGGTGACTGGGGGTCCTTGACGCGCCATGGCTGTTCTTCGCAACAGTGACGTCAGCTGCACCTCAAGGTGACAGGGAGCTGCCCTATCTCGCAGATAAAGACTTGTGCCCGCTTGGGGACCTTGGTGTATTGAATCACCGTTGTCTGGTTTTCTAAAGGACCCGGTGGCTGAAAAGAATTAAGCTCTGCCATTCACTGGAATTTGGTGACATTCAATTTAGGAGTTGGCCAGCAGCTTTATCCAGACAGGACTTTGTCATCTGACGATAATTGCTTTGTTGTGCAACCTTTTTAGCTCAACTGCTCTGTCCCTGAGGGCTCTCATGGGAAACGGAGGCCTTGTGTGAGCTCCAGGAAAGAACCGGGAATTACGTCTTTCCGTCCCACAAAGTGCGTTGAGCTCTGAGTGATTGCACTTTGAGTGTTTCTGATACACCATGTGAACAGCCCATGTGAATGTGCCTCGCTCTGTTTTCATAGATATAAAGAGATAGGGGGAAGCTTGAAATTCAACACTAGCATCCACTGCCAGCTGGTATCAGCCTCAAGAAAAACATTCCCAAGCATTTGATCAGCTGGTTTGAGTCTGAATGTTACGCATTCCTTTTTGGGTCTGTATTGACGTGTGTAAACGGGTTTTAAGACATGAGGAAAATGCGCGCGGGAAGTCACTGACGGTTTACTTATGCAACAGGGCATATAATGGAAAACTGGGTGTTGGTGTTTTTTTAATTTTATGTGTATGGAGACATTTGCAAATGAGGAATGTGGTGGTTATAAATGCTGGAATGTGCTACGATGAAACACTGGGAACGACTTGAACTTTGAAATATGGTTATCCATGACACAGTTACACTCATTGTTTTTTTCTCTTTTTCTCTCTTAGGTCATGGAGACCAAAGACATGCTGTATATTGTGACAGAGTATGCAAAGAATGGAGAGATGTTTGGTGAGTGAAGCCTTAAGCCTTTTCATTTGCATTCACAAAGGTACATAGCACACCCAGAAACACAGAGGTTAATTTTAACCCTCCATGACAATTAAAAGGCCACTGGCAAAATAAAAGCATGGAAAAAGGAAGTAACCTCATAATAGACCCTCCTAAGAGTCTGATCCTGATAGTCTGGATCCTCTTTCCCTGCAGACCACCTAACCTCAAATGGCCGCTTGAGTGAAGATGAAGCACGAAAGAAGTTCTGGCAGATCCTGGCCGCGGTGGACTTCTGCCATCGGCACCACATCGTTCACCGTGACCTAAAAACTGAGAACCTGTTGCTGGATGCCAACATGAATATCAAACTGGCCGGTAGGTCGATCATATTCTCAGTGTTGGCTGGTGATGAGATGCGGTGTTAATGGTTTTTAATGCAACAACGTCCTTCTGTACCTACTTGCTGTTTCTGTATTCTGTTCAGTTTACGCCTGAAGAACGTATTTGGTGCTCTGGGATTCTAATTAAATCATTGTTGTGCCATCTATGTGCTAATTAAATGTTAATTATTCACTCATTTTACTAAGACAAGCATCAACCAGAGGAAATGAGCTCAGCACACAATCACACGCTTTTACATGAAGAAACTGTAGAGCCAAATTATCAGAAACAGGAAAACAGTCAGTCTTTTGTATGAGAAGATATGTTAACCCGAGCTTACTTTGAAGTGTTGATGATATCTCATGATGATAAATTACTTAACACACCATGAACAGTACTAAATCTGCGCTATAGGGCCTGCAGCGCTTCAAGCTGGAATGGAAAGCAAACAAGTTTGATTAAAAAAAGTTGTTCTACACTTGTGTCTGTGTGCAGACTTTGGATTTGGAAACTTCTACAATGCAGGGGAGCCTCTGTCTACATGGTGTGGCAGCCCGCCTTATGCTGCCCCTGAAGTGTTTGAAGGGAAGGAGTATGAGGGGCCTCAGCTGGATATTTGGGTAAGCTCCGGGAATGTAATACGGCATTACTGACAGAGGAAGCGATGACATTTACATAATCGTGATTACATTCTCCTTTTTGCTCTTTGCTTCGCAGAGTCTCGGTGTCGTGCTTTATGTCCTCGTCTGCGGCTCTCTTCCGTTCGACGGAGCCAGCCTTCCCGCGCTCCGGCAGAGAGTCACCGAGGGACGATTCAGAATCCCTTTCTTTATGTCACAAGGTATAAATTATCCCGACAACAGTTACCGCAAATTACTAAAACGGTGTAAACTACATACAGAGACTCATTCACTGTTTGCGTACTTTAGACTGTGAGAATCTGATCCGTAAAATGCTGGTGGTGGATCCAGCCAAAAGGATCAGCATTGCTCAGATCAAGCAACACCGCTGGATGATGGCGGATCCGTCAGCTGCCCACCAGATCCTCAGCCATCCCCTCACGGAGTACAATTCCAACCTGGGCGACTACAGCGAACCCGTGCTGGGCATCATGAACACACTGGGCATCGACCGTCAGAGGACTATCGAGGTGACTGAACAAGAATCAAAATGTGTTTAGTGGTTTTATGAAAGTATTGCAGTCACAGTAAAAATACTCAGTTTACGGGTTTACAGGCAGCGGGTAGGCTGCAGCTAAGTTTTCATTCTCTCTTAAGTTGAACCTACATTGTATTCCTTCAAAGACCTTATTCTGTATTTAAATATAGATTTCTCTCTCTGTCATCTCCAAATATATAAATGCAGATATAAGCAGCTATATTTGTCTTTCCCTTAAAAGTTTTAAAGAGGTGCTAAAGAAAGATATAAAGAGAGAGCACTGGTTATAAACTGTCATTACAAGCCACAGAAAGTAAACAAAATGGCAAAATGACTAATCTTCTGATCTTATCTTCAGTCTCTGCAGAGCAGCAGCTACAACCACTTCTCTGCCATCTACTACCTGCTGCTGGAGCGAGTGCGGGAGCATCGTGCACAGCAGCTGAGCCGCCAGTGTGGAACATGGAGCCAGAGACCAAGGAGCACCTCCGACTCCACAAGCCCAGAGGTCAGCACTATAGCTGCATGTAGCTGACTATCAATCTCCATTCTTATTTGCATGAAGTTTAATAATCTCTGTGCTTTCTGCTTCCTTCTAGGTGATCATGGAGTCCACTGAGAGTTTTAGAACAACAGCGTTTTCACTTCCAACCAAAAACACCCCCCCTGTGTACTCAGAGGTAGAGTGTGACCAAGCTGGATTGTTTCAGGTAAATTTCTTGAATAGCATGCTCTCTTGCATCTATACTAATGGACCAAATGCAAAAGCTGCACCCTGCCCTGCTAGCAGTCAGTGGCTAACAGTCAACCTCCTTCCTTTTCAGCGTGTAGTGTTTCCAGTGGAGGCCAGTCTGAACAGATTGCTCTGGAACCGCTCCATTTCACCCAACAGCCTGCTGGAGACAAGCATCAGCGAAGAGGTGCGACCCAGAGACCTGGAGGAGGAGGAGGCAACGCAAACTCTTGGGCCCCTGCTCCCTCCAACCACCACCTCTCGCAGACACACTCTGGCTGAGGTCTCCGCCCGTTTCCACCAGTGCAACCCTCCATGTTAGTATAATATACATGCGCACGCACGTTCTTCATTCTTGTAGCGATGCAGAGTCTTGACCTCTCCTGTTTCTTTAGGTATCGTGGTCAGCCCCTCAGACGGTGCCTCCTCTGACAGCTGCCTGAAGTCTTCTTCCAGTCCTGCCCCCACTTTGCAAGCTGCTGTAGGTGGGGTGGCAACACTTCGGGCCTCGGGGGCTGAGGGAGGAGCTCTGCTGTCGGCTGGAGCTCCCCTGGCTCTCTCTTCCCACCTCCTGCCCCAGGCCCAGGGCAGCCTGCCCCCTGCCAGCTTCCAGGAGGGTCGCAGAGCCTCTGACACCTCCCTCACACAAGGTACACACGCATGATCGTGAAATCATTTCCTGTATGCCACCTGCCTAAGCTGGTATTTAGGTTTTCTCACACGTACCATGTAGTAGGACCAACGCTGCATTGCATAACAGTTTCCCATGCCTTCACGCAGGCCTCAAAGCTTTCCGCCAGCAGCTGAGGAAAAACACGCGCACTAAAGGACTTCTGGGATTGAATAAGATCAAGGGTCTGACGAGGCAGGCTGCCCCATCACCCTCCTGTAACCGCGGTAGCCGGGGGTCACTGGGTCCAGCTCTCTCTGAGCACCGCAGCATGCTGGAGGAGGTGCTGCACCAGCAAAGGTGAGTCACATTATTGCAGGAGCACAAAGCATTATGGGATTGTTAATTTCATAAACTACAAACAATTGAACCCCAAGTCGAGCTGTTGATAACAAATCTCATCTCATTTCCCAGAATGCTGCAGATTAAGCACCAACCACAGCCTCAGGTCCAAGCCCCTCAGACAGGACCTCAACAGAAGCCCCTGCTCTTCTTGGCACACCAACAGTCACCATCTCCTCCGCCTACTACCGTGTTTGCTTCCTCCTCCATGTTTGACAACCCTGCTCAACCCGTCCTGCCTGCTCAGCAGGCTTCAGTGGGTCTGCAGCAGGGTCCCTGGCAACAGACCCTCGAGACCTCCGCCACGGGCTGCTCATCCTCACCCTGCTACTCCTCTTCTCTGTCCCCCGTGGCCTCTGCTGCCTACCTTCTCGAGGCACGTCTACACATCAGCCAGCAACCCTACCCTAACCACCACACTGGCCTCCGTCAACAGGCTGCAGCACAAGGCAATTTCCCCATCCTGTCCAAGTCAGCCATGTGGAGGATGGGCTCGGTCTCCGGCACAGACCCCGACATGCAGGAGCTGGGTATGTCTGGACAGCAGCAGCAGCAGCTCAGCAGCTGTGTGATGGTGAAGTAAATCATCGGTCAAGCGAGACCGGCGAATGTTCTCTTGGTGGAAGAGCCAAAAAAGACTTGATGCTGAGCGCAGAAGAAAAGAGAGCAGAAGTGAAGAACAACAAAAAAAGCAGACGCGAGTGACGAATTTGTCTTTATGGGGTACACGTGAGAATGTGTCTGCACACGTGTTCGCTGTGTGTATGTGTTTTTTCTAATCGTATAAGCTAAAGACTAAGCAATAAACCAAACTCTGGATGAAGTGTTCGATTCGTAACAGCCAGAGAAGCAATAACAGACTGACAGACTCTCCTCGGCTCTGATGGACTCACTTGAATAGCTGACGTTGCTGAGTCACTCTCACATTTTTATGCTGTCTAGATTTACTTTTTGATCTTTTTTTTAACAGGAAAGTTCGCTCTTCCATTTTTTCCTGTTTGTTTTTTTTTTGCCACTTGTGTAAGCGCTCTCAGTGTTTTTCACTTGCCTGGACAGAAGACCAAAATTCATATTATTTTCAGTCTCCCCACTTTGTTCAGCTTCTTGAAGAGACATTTCTCTGTAGCAGTGCAGTGAACACGCAGTATAGTAACCTAAGCTTACTTACACCGAAGGAGACGATTTTTATTTTTACTGAAACTGTGATTTTTTTTTTCCCGTTTGTTTTTTCTGTGCAAGATTGTTAATTTTAGTGACGCAAAACGCTGCTTTTACCTCAAACTGCAAAAAGACTGCTACACCCTCATCAGCCAAAACTGAGTGAAGATGGTGTTTCGCTGGTTAAGTTAAAGCACAGCAGGTACATCAGTCAGCCTGGTAGCACCCTACATGTGTGGATCCATACCCCTCCCTCTCCTTTGTCTGATAAGCACCTTTCTTTTTAGATGCTATTACTACCTCCTCAGGCAACAATTTGGAAAGGTTAAGTAAAACCTTTAAACGCTAATGAGCAGGTTGAATATCAGAGAAAGAGGGTTTTTCGTACGGAACAAAGACTGTGGGAACAGTGCAATATTTTACATGAAAAAAACCAATGGAAATGAGGCTTAACATAGGATGGTCAAAAACTCCACGTGTACTTGCCTGAGGTTTTGTGTTCGTCTTTCTTTTTTTTGGTGTGTGTGTGTTTCATCTTGCCGTGCTAGCTAGCTGACTAGAAGAGGTACTTCTTATGATACTGTAGTGACTTAGAGAAGAGGCTCGAGGCATTTCAAAATGCTGTTTTGGGGTTTTTTTGTTGTTTTTTTGCTTTTTTTATTCACACAGCATGCTTGTAGATCCGAAAGGAAGAATTTGGGTTTTACCAAAGACTCAACAGCACAAGACATAGAGGATCTGTCAAAAGACACACTACTGACTTTCCTCTTTGAATGCTGTCTCCAAGATGTAGCGTGGTGGTGTAGCGAACCAATTTCACACGATCTCCTTAGCCTTTTGCTGTGAGACAAAAGAAAAGAAAAGAAAAACTCCCGCTGCCACCAAATCCTAATGCTACGTGTATTGTGGGTATCTCTAGCTGTTACTATGAGGACCATGGTAGTGTTTGTTTTGTACTTTTCTAAAAAAAAAAAAAAAAAAAAGAAAGAAAGAAAGAAGAAGAAAACAATCAGAACATAGCAATACCATAATGTGCAGGAAGTGGAACTTTCTTCAGTTGCTCAGTAGTAGCTTGAAATAGACACAGATGTCCTGCACTGAATTGCATGTGCAGGCAGTCGAATTAAGGTGTTTGAAAGCTGTAACAGATGTGTATTAATGTGAGTGTAGTTAGCTGTCTCATGTCTGTGAAACATCTTGTAGGTGAGAGCTGTGTCTTTTCGAGCCCGGTTCTTTTTTTGAAAACGTGCAATTTTGATTATATTGACCCCCCCTGACT